GGACTGGCCTAGGGGTATTTTAAATTGGTTTTAATCAAATTTTTAGTAGAAGCGGCCAAATTTGAATATTTATTTTTAATCATTTTTAAATTTTGTATTGTATTGTATCATTGTTTTAAACTGGCTGTAAGCCGCCCTGAGTCCTCCGGGAGAAGGGCGGGGTATAAATTTAATAAAATCAAAATCAAATCAAATCAAAGGGGGGGGGGAAGGAGTGGTATTTAGGCAACCAGGGCCTTTAAGAGCCAAAGTCACAAAAACAGATGGAGAATTTGGGGGAATTGGAAGGATTTTTCTATGTAACCAGCTGGCACATCTAGCCTTTTGTATCACGATTTGTGTCTCTTTATAAACTTGCCCTGGTGGGTTTTGTGCAAATTGTTAAGCAACTTTGCATCGAAGTTGCTTCTAAATAGGAGGAGAGCATCGCAATCTGAGAACTTGCTCAAAAGTCGTTCTTTTAAAGTGGTTTCTTCTTCCCTATGAGCAGCTCTATTTCCTTCCATCATTGCTTGCTTTGCACGTAACTACTTCCAACTAGAATGGCATCTCCTCACTGTTATTGGGCCAGGCAGTGGCAATATAGAATTCATTTCGTATTTTGTCATTTCCCTCCATTTTACTTGCTGGCTTGATCCGGTTATTATGCTTCTTGCTGTTCCATCAGTTTAATGATACCAATCAGGATCACTATTGGAGCAGGGGGTTGGACTAGAAGACCTCCAAGGTCCCTTCCAGCTGTATTCTGATTAACACAATCTACGTACAGCCCTTTGGATGCTCTTGTGTAATGGCAAGGAGATCACAAGAGAGAGAGAGAGAGAGAGAGAGAGAGAGAGAGAGAGAGAGAGAGAGAGAGAGAGAGAGAGAGAGAGAGAGAGAGAGAGAGAGAGAGAGAGAGAGATCCACCCAGGCAAAGTGTAAAAATCACACTTTCTGTTTTTAGATCACAAGAGGGAAGCAATTCCTGCCTTTTTACAACTCTAATTCTAGGCCTGGCACAGTTGTACAATTCCTTTTACAACAAGGAAAGTTATTTCCTGTTAGTAAGTTAAGTAATGCATTAGTTTTCTCGGCAGAGGAGGCTGACATCAATGCTCAGTCTCAGGAAAAAAAAATCCCCCGTATGTAGAAGAGTAACATGTAGTGTGGAATCTCATCTTTTCCCCTCCCATGCCCCCCAAGAACTGGCTGTCAAGATTTGGAAGAATATTCAGGCCAATGGCCAACCTCTGCAAAGCCACAGGTGAGGCACTGACAGGTGATTCTGCCCTAAATACATCTCTTTCAAACCTAGCTTGGGTAGCAAATCTATCCCCCCAGCACATGTGTTCACGTGCAAGTGCATGTGTGAAGAGAGAACCAGTTTTAAATAATACAATTTTTAAAAGTAAGAGTTCGAAGTTCTTAGCATTTAGGTTTAAAGTAAAAAAAAACATTTCATTTTACACAGAAAGCTCTGAGCTCACTTTGATTCTTGCAATGATCGTTTTTTTTAAAAAAAATACCTCGTGCACAGGATGTAGCAAAGGGGAAAGCCTGGGAGACTGGCTCTAATGTTGGACTGAGAGAGATCCAGGCCTGTTGTCTTCACTCAACCGTGGAGGTGACTTAAAATACCATGCTAGAAAGCAGGAGACCCTGAGTTCCAGTCCCGCCTTAGCCATGAAAGCCAGCTGGGTGACTTTGGGCCAGTCGCTCTTATTCAGCCCAACCCACCTCACAGGGTTGATGTGGAAGGAGAAGGAGGAAGGTCTCTTGGATATCTTTGCCACCTTGAGTTATCGGTAAGAACAATTTAAGACAGGATGCAAATAAATAAAGTGATGCACAAAACTGAAAGGACATTTTAGGATTTTTTTTTTTAATTTGTGTAATGCACAATGCAACCCTAAACACATTTAAAGAAACAAGGACAAAATATAGACAATTTCACATCTCTAAATTAGTATCCCTGAGGATTGAGGGTGCTCAGCACATCCTACCTTCCTTCCCCTCCTTCACTACAGCTTAAATCCTAAAGTTATCCCGTTTCCAATCAGGATCATGCTTATGTTCACACGAGGATCATGGAAGATCTTCTCATTTAATTGATGAATATGTTGGGCTGCGCGGTCACTTTTGCCCGGTTTAAGAACTTTTCCTGATACCAAAACCTGTTAGAAACAGAGAAAACCATACAGAAGAGCGTGCAGGATTCACACCATGTATTACAACGCTGTTACACTGGAGACAACTGTCAGAGAATGCCTGGAAGTACAAATGTGATGCTTGGCTGAGGCTCATTAAAATAGCTACCTCGTTTCTCAGGACGAGACAGTTACGATGTCAGCCTTCTGCTGCAACCACACAAACCTGGAAGCGGTGCTGGCTGGTTCAGTGAGTTGCAGGCAGTTGGGGCCTCTACAATCTGTTCCAAGCACTGCCTTGCCCCACCCCTGCATCACAACTAAGTTTACAACTGGACCTTTGCTTTATGAACAACTACCCAGGCTAAAGATTCCATACAAGCAAGGAAGTTTATTTCAAAGTCAGTGTAGGCGGCGCTCCAATCTCCGTCCTTTCTGGGGTGAAAGTAATCAAAAGCAGAGTTTTGCCAAAGGCAAAATACAGAATAACAGAACTGGAAGGGACCTTGGAGGTCTTCTAGTCCAACCCCCTGCTCTGTGCCATTCCAAACAAATGGTTGTCCAGTCTCTTCTTTCTAGTCCAGAAAAGCCACCAAGATCTGCTCGGTTCCCATTTTTTTCTGAAATACTTACGTTGTCAAGAACTAATAACTTCCCCTTTTTTATGAGCCGCAGACATTTTTCGTAGTAATCGTTGTAACTCTCTTTGTCCGCGTGGATGAACGCCAGGTCAAAGGTTCCAGCTTCACCATTGGCCAGAAGTTCCTCTACACACACACACACACAAAAATCAGAATGGGCTTTTTTTTAAAAAATGCAAAAGATTCCCTTCTGTCTGTCTTCCTTCTATTGTTGCCCCCTTATCTGGGTAGCTTCAGCCTTGGTGGAGCAGGGGTTACAATGCAGGCTGGCTCTGCCCCACAGCCAGCAGTTCGATCCTGACCGGCTCGAGGTTGACTCAGCTTCCTGAGGTCGGTAAAATGAGGACCCAGATTGTTGGGGGCAAATATGCTGACTCTGGAAACCGTTCAGAGAGGGCTATAAAAGAATTATGAAGCGGTATATAAGTCTAAGCGCTACTGCTACTCAGACGAGTCCAACCTGCGAAGGGAAGGGGACGGGGAACGATGAGAATCCTGAATTCCAGTTTCCCCTTAACCTTGCCATTCAGACATGACTCTACTTGTGAAACCACAATGGTGGGGGAGGGGGTGTTCCAATCTCTGTCTGGCTTGGGGCCAATTGGGATGCCATGATCACCCTGCCCATCAGGGTGGGCCAAGCATCACTTCAGAGAGGGCTTCCACCTGCAACTATCTGAATCTAAACTGAATACAGGCAGTCCTCAATTTACGACCACAATCGAGCCCCGGACTTCTGTTACTAAGTGAGACGTTTGTTAAGTAGGTTTTGCCCCATTTTACGACCCTTCCAATCAAATCCTTTGCTTCCACCTACCTAATGTTTCAATGGCTGGTTTTATCCTTAGATCGATCTTGCGTAGCACTCCGGCCTGAAAGGAAAGGAAACATCTCATAGGTTTCCCAAGGACCCAGGTCCTCAGCCTCCGCATCGTGTGTGTGTGTGTGTGTTTGTGTGTGTGTGTGTGTGTGTATACCACCCATGGATGTGGCATTTCCAGAAAGGGGGTGGGGGCTGACTGGAGATAGATGATGTCAAATCCCCCCCTCTGTGGAGTCTACAACACAAATCCTTTCCGCAGTTCTGAGAAGGCTCCACACCCATTTGCACCACCCAGGTGACCCTGAGGACACAGATAAACTTCCAAGTGGCCTCAACAACTCTCTAAAAAGAAGGCAAATGACCAGCTGTCTGCAAGGAGTATAAACCCTGCTATTCTCCCCACCATCCAGTCAGAGCTGAAGAAGCTTCTTGGATGAGAAGCGAAACGTCTTCAGAGAAGAACAAGGAAGTCCTCTTGAAAAAAGCACCTTTGGCACAACCGAATGTCGGCAAATATTAACACAGCAAATATGACTAAGCCCCAATTTCCGAGTGACTCACTCTACCTCTTTCCACACTGGCTTTCCAATACTGGCCAAGTCTTCGTTTATGTCGCAGGCAACAATTCTGCCGTCCTCCGGAAGGACTAGAGCCATGCTCAAAGTATTGTACCCGGCAGAAACTCCTACGGAGAAACGACAAAAACGTGGTTGAGAGGGGTTCTGACTTCCGAACGAATAGGAACAGAGGTGGTCCTCCACTTACGACTGCCATCGGGACCAGAATTTCCATTGCTAAGGAAGGTTAAGTGAGATGTGCTCAATTTTACAACCTTTATTGCCATGGTTGTTAAGCAAACCGCTGCGGTTGTTTAAGTGAATCGATGTAGTCCTTAACCAAATCCAGCTTCTTTCATTGACTTCGCTTGTCGGACATTGGCTGGGACGGGGGTGGAACCTTGGCTCTTTTATGATTCCTGGACTTCAACTCCCAGAATTCCTGAGCCAGCCATGCTCCCTCCCTTCCTCTCTCACTCCTTCCCTTCCTTCCTTCCTTCCTTCCTTCCTTCCTTCCTTCCTTCCTTCCTTCCTTCCTTCCTTCCTCCCTCCCTCCCTCCCTCCCTTCTCAGTAATAGCACTTAGGCTTATATACCACTTCCCAGGGCTTTACAGCCCCCCTCTAAGCGGTTTACAGAGTCAGCCTGTTGCCCCCAACAATCGGGGTCCTCATTTTACTGGCCTCGGAAGGACGGAAGCCTGAGTCAACCTTAAGCTGTTCAGGATTGAACAGTTGGCAGTTGGCAGAATTAGCCTGCAGTACTGCATTCCAACCCCTGTGCCATCACAGCTCTCCCTCCCTCCCTCCTTCCTTCCTTCCTTCCTTCCTTCCTTCCTTCCTTCCTTCCTCCCTCCCTCCCTCCCTCCCTCCCTCCCTTCTCAGTAAGGAGAGAGGAAGCCATGAAAGATGGTTAAAAAACCGGCCTTTCGGTCCTAATTTTGCCAGAGTGTGGAACTGATCGCCACTTCAACTGGCTCAAAACTCAAAGAGGGGAGTTTGGGGGAAGTGACCAGTTGTAATTTGAGGACAACTGGCAGAAGGTTAGACTGTGACCTACAGGGGGCCCAGTTTATTATGGGATCGATTCCCGAATCTCCCTGGTTGCAGGCAATCTCACTTACCTATCTCAATTACCTTTTTTGCTCCAACAAGTCTGATCAGGTTTGCCACCAGCTGGGCCTGATCACGGGAGACCCAGAGCTTTTTGCCAGGAGGACCAGAGGCAGCCTAGAAGAACAAAACAGGTCTCGACATGACAAGTTCTTCTGCAATTCCATGGATGATCCAGATTGTCTATGGAGGCTCTCCATCCTCCATGTCCTGGTCATCCCAAAGGTGCTTTTTCAGGAGGCAACTGGACTTTCTTGCTTTTCTTTAAACACACTTCGCTCTCATCCAAGAAGCTTTTTCAGTTCTGACCAGGCGGTGGGGAATGGAAGGATTTCTACTCCTTGCAGACCGCTGGTCATTTGCCTTCTTTTGGAGAGTCCTTGAGGCCACTTGGAGGTTTACCTGTGTCCTCAGGGTCACCTGAGTGGTGCAAATGGGTGTGGAGCCTTCTTGGCTGCAGGATGTGTCCCTTCCCTGTTGGAGACAGGCGCAGGCTGTTGGGGATGAGTCTGTGTTGTCTGCATCTCAGACCGAAGCGCAAATGGTTCCTGGAGTCTGCAATGTTTTCTGGAAATCCGTTCATGCTCCCGCACCATTCGAAGGGGGTCCATCCCAAAGCGCATGGCTCAATGTCTAAATATAAATCCTTCCACTCCCCACCATCCAGTCAGAGCTGAAGAAGCTCCTTGGATGAGAAGTGAACGTCTTCAAAGGAAAAACAAGAAAGTCCAGTTGCCTCCTGAAAAAAAGCATCTTTGGGACAACCAGGATCCAGAAGCCAAGATTAAACATCTCTCTATTCTACAATTTAATTTATTATTTATCGCAGACCTGGGGCACGAGGGCCACCTCCAGCCCTTTAGCCGTTTCCTGTCCTTGAGGTCAATTGGAAGTTAGAAATCAAATATACAGTATATATGCGCGTATGCCATGCGCACAAGTACAACTGCATTACTTTTATTTTGAAGGTGACTCTTACTTTCTTTTCAAGCCCAGAGTCACCTGATTGGGGAGACGGGCAGCATAAAAAATAAATAAATAAATAAATATGTAAATATGTAAATAAATGTACAAATGCGTGTGTGCACGTGCCTTCACAGTATTGGCTCAGCCTTCCAAAACAGTCCCAGTGTCTCTTGTGGCCTCTTGGGAAAACTAATTGCCCACCAATGATTTATTGTTTCCTTTTAAACTGCATTTCATGCTTCGTTTTTTTGTTATTTTATAAACTTTTCCAGGAGCTCCTCTGAAGAAGCATCTAAGAAATAATGAATGAGGCAGGCGGGGGGGGGGCTTGCTTCAGATGGAGAAGAGCAGCGAGAGAAGGGCTGGCCTCCCCCAGCACAAAAACACTGACTTTGCTTCTCAGAAGGGGATCACGTGCCCCCCCAGGACACTGCGACCGTGAGTCAGTAGCCAAGTGTCCAAATTTTGACCATTTGGGGATGCTGCAACGTTTGTTAAGTGTGAGAAACAGCCGTAAGTCACCTTTTTCAGTGCCGTGGTAACCTAGAACAGTCACTAAACGAACTGTTGTAAGCTGAGGACTCCCTGTACATTATTTGGGACGTCTACTTCTTCCAGACGGAAGGGCTGAACGATCCCCCCGTTACAGAGGAGATGGGAGTTAATCTGGGGCGTTTGTGGATCCTGGATTGACCACAGAAGTCGATCGGATCCATTTGCAACTGGGGCACTTACCAGCCTCAGCTTCTTTAAAAGAGGGTGCTCTCGCACGGAGTGATCCACAACGTATTTGTGTAGGTTGTCGTTCCCTTGCAAGAAGCCGGAGAAAGGGCTGGAGATGCCGAAGACGAACCAGTCTGAGCCGTGGTATCTTCTGCCTTTGGAAAGCAAATCAATCCCTCCTCAGTCACAGAATAAATAGTTCAAAACGCTCGATAGGAACCCACTGAAAGAAGCTCGGAAGGGTGGCTGTCTGGAACACCAATCCCTTTTTCACACAACATACTTATCCTGGTTTCTGAATTTCCGGGAGAGGGGGGGAATTGAAACTCATTGAATCCCAGACCTGGAAGCCTTTTAGTCCAAGTGAAAAATAATAATAATAATAATGGCAATCTGGAATAAATTAACTCACTTTCCCCTGTGGTGTCAGTACAGAGTTCGTACATTACAATAAGCTGTTGAAATCTAACCAGAGTTAACACCAAGCTTAGCGTGTTGTGTGAATCTTTTGCTAGGTGTCCCCAGGAGCTCTTAAAAACATCTGCCACGGAGAGGTCATCCCACCCAGAAGAGAAACCCTGAATAGGGTGAATCTGCATTGGTGAGCTGCTCTATCATGGCTTAGGGAACTAAGTAGACTAATTGGGGCTTAGCCCAATCTACTCCAATCCTCCCAAGGGGGGGCTTGCTTCGCTTCGCTCTAAAAGCCCTTTGACACTTTGATCACAGCTTGCCGGAGACGAAGCACCTCTTCAAAAGTTTGCTCCTAAGTAAAAAAGCAAACAAACCTGCTTCTTTTGGTCCAATTCTGCTCTGATGACCACTCAAACACAACTGTGCACCTTCCCAGCAAAAATCCCTGGATGGTTTGCCCTAAACCTCTTCCAGCACTTTAACATTTTTCTCCATTTGGCCTACAGCCTTGGGTATCTGGGTGGTCTCCCATCCTGCCCAAGCTTTTCAAGAGGAGCCAAAGGTCAGCTATAGGCCCCTCAAAAGGTGACCGAGCTGGTCTGGACTACGTAGCTGAGAAGCTCCAGGAGAGAGTTTGAGCCAGAGACAGTCGGTGTGTTTCTTCTTTCCTCCTGGCACAGGGAGTTTTCAAAGTTGGCCACTTTTAACATGGGGTGGACTTCAACTCCCGCTATCAATTAATTCCAAAGAATTCACAGCCTAGCTTAGCCTAGAATAACAGAGTGGGAAGGGACCTTCTAGGTCATCTAGTCCAACCCCCGCTGCCCAAGCAGGAGACCCTACTACACCACTTCTGACAGAGTAGGATGATCTTGCACTGGGGGGCTGCAGTCCAATCCCTCCTCCCCAGTTTAGGGTCGGGGTCCCGGCCCTTCCCATTGCCCCTTTCCAACCAGCCCCGGTTCCAGCGCCGGCGAAGCCCCCTCCCGAGGCGCCCCTCAGCCCGGACCACCCCGGGGGCTGCGCGGAGCCAAGTCGTGCCCGGAGCACCCCGGAGAAGCTGCGTGGGTGTGGGTGTGTGTGTGGGGGGGGAAGAGGCTCCTCTCGGGGGCGGGAAAGTCCTCCTCGGGTGGGCATTCCCCTCGGCCCCCCCCGGCCTGCGGGGCTCCCCCTCCCAGCGGAGCGAGGCGGGCGGGCGGGCGCCAGGTTGCCGCTCCCCCCCCAATTCCCGCCTGGGGCGCGCGGAGCCTTACCGGCCAGGAAGCCCACCGCCAGCGCCGCCCCCGCCGCCCCCGCGGCCGCCAGGAGGGCTCCGCGGGAGAGCCCGGAGGAAGCCATGCCTGCAGCGGGGAGCCGGAGCCGCCGCCAGACCGGGCGCTTTCGCAAGACCGGCGCGTCACGTGTCCGGGGTGGCGAGCGGCCCCTGCAGGCGGCGGGACCCGGGGCTGGGCGCGAAAGGCGGAGCGCAAAAGGCGGGAGGGAGGCGGGTCGGGGGCGCCCCGG